CACTTGAAGAAAAGTACCAAGATCAGTGTTTACAGAGCCATAGTGCTGTCTACTCCTTTATATGGGTCCGAATCATGCGTCATCTACCGCCACCACCTGCGTCTCCTAGAACGCTTCCATCAACGCTGCCTCCGTACAATCCTTAACATCCACTGGTCAGACTATGTGACCAATACATCTGTTCTCGAACAGGCAGCAATCACAAGTATTGGGGCCATGTTACTGAGAACGCAACTGCGCTGGGCAGGGCACGTCTCAAGGATGAAGGACCACCGCCTCCCTAAGATCCTGCTCTATGGTGAACTTGCCACTGGCTGCCGCAAGAGAGGAGCTACGAAGAAAAGATACAGGGACTCCCTAAAGCAACAACTCAGCCTTGGGCATATTGATCACCATAACTGGTCTACTCTGGCCTCTAATCGGGAGGCCTGGAGACACACCATTTATAACGCTGCTGAAGCTTTTGAGAAAGCACGCAGGTTCACCCTTGAGGAGAAAAGACAACACAGAAAGAATCGAGCCTTGCAGAATATACCCTCTAAGGAGTCTTTCTGCTGTGTCTTTTGCAACCGGACTTGCCTTTCTCATATTGGCCTTTTTAGCCACCAACGCGCTTGCAAGAAAAGTGGGTAGAGCCCTTCCCAAATCTTCGTTCGCGAAGCCTAGCCATGATGATTCTTGCCAGGATCTTGCCAGCAATGGAGAGCAGAGTAATACCACGGTAATTTGAACAGTCTGATTTAACTCCTTTCTTCTTATACAAAGTGATGATGACTGCATCATGAAGGTCTGAAGGTAGTTCGCCTAATTCCCAACAGCACACCACAAACTCATGAAATTTAGCATGGAGTGCAAGACTCCCATGTTTCCAGACTTCAGGTGGAATTCTGTCAACCCCAGATGCTTTGCCAATTTTCACCTGCTGAATGGCCTTGAGGGTTTCTCCTAAAGTGGGGGCAGTATCCAATTCGTACTTTACCGGTTGTTGTGTGATGGACTGGATTGCTGTGTCTTGGACTACATGTTTGGTACTGAAAAGAGTCTGAAAGTGTTCAGACCATCGATTCAGAATGGAGGTTTTATCTGTCAGAAGCGTTTGACCATCTGCGCTGAGTAGAGGGCTTTGGGCTTGGTATGTAGGCCTGTATGCTGTTTTCAGGGCCTCATAGAATCCTTTGTGATCACCCATATCTGCGCATAACTGAGTTTTTTCAGCTAGATCGATCCACCACTTGTTCTGGATGTCACGGAGTTTCTGTTGGAGCTTGCTGCATGCAAGACGAAAGGCTGTTTTTCTTGTGTGACAGGAAGGCAGTGCAAGGTGTACTTGGTGGGCGGTTCTCTTCTTCCTCAACAATTCCTGGATCTCTTGATTGTTTTCATCAAACCAGTCCTTGTTCTTCTTAAAGGAGAACCCTAAGGATTCTTCAGAGGACTGCTGGATGCTGTTTTTAATATGGTGCCAAATTGTTTCAGGAGAGGCATCTGTAGAATCTATGGAATGGTTTTCGAGCCTAGTTTGAAGGTTTGCCTGGAATCTGTCTCTTACTGTGGCTGCTTGGAGATTGTTAACTTGGAGTCTTCTCCTTGGGATACTGCCCCTTTTAGGTTTGAATTTAAGATTGAAGTTGAGTCTACAGCACACAAGCCAATGGTCTGTTTGGCATTCTGCACTAGGCATCATGCGTGTGTGGTGGACATCGCGGACATCTCTCGGTTGCACCAAGGCATAATTGATGAGGTGCCAATGCTTAGATCTGGGGTGCATCCAGGTTGTCTTCAGACTATTTTTCTGCTGAAAGATGGTGTTAGTGATGGTGAGATGTTGCTCTGCACAGAATTCTAGCAGAAGTCGACCATTATAGTTGCAGTTTCCAACACCGTGCTTACCTTTTCCTTTCCGGGCTTCAAAATTCTTTCCTACTCTGGCATTGAAATCACCAAGGATAATGATCTTATCATCTGCAGGCACCTTTTGGGTAAGGTGGCGCAGGTCGGTGTAAAATTTATCTTTTTCAGCAGGGTCAGCTTGGAGAGTTGGGGCGTATATACTAAAGAGGACAACGTGTTGCTTGTTGTTTAGTGGAAGGCGTAGGGAGATAATGTGGTTAGAATGACCTGTCGGCAGATTTTTGAGTTTAGGAACAACAGAGTTTTTGATCATGAAGCCAACTCCTGAGAGATGCCTTTTGGATCTGGGTTTACCTGACCAAAAGAGTGTGTAACTGGCACCCTGTTCTCTAAGGTTGCCTTCCTTGTGAAGGCGAACTTCACTGAGAGCAGCAATGTTGATGTTGAGATGTGCCAGTTCATGGGCAATTAGGGCAGAATGACGCTCAGGACGTCCGCTATCCGCAGAATCGAGCATGGTTCTGATGTTCCAACATGCTAGAGTTAATTTAGGTACACCTTTGGAGGCAGGTGCGTGCCTTTGTCTTTTGCTCTTTGTGCGACCGCATTGGAAGAAGATGCCCGTTGGTCTGCGGTTAACCAACCGGGTGAAGGTGGAGATGAGCTTTGTTTAAGCCACCTTTTCTAGGCCCCTCTCCGAGTGGAGCAAGCAGTGCTGTCCTTGAAAAGGCTGCTTGGTTGTTCAGGGTGCTGCCCCAAGAGACTGTCATCCCCAGTCAGTCTCAAATGACCAATATCCTGAACTGCCTGCATGCAGGGTTGAGTCTGCAGCTTCCAGTGCACCTTTCACCTGCCGTTTCGACCCTCTCCTGTCGCTACAGGGCTTTGTGAATGTGGGTAAAGCCTTCAAGTCTGTGCAATGGATTTTTTTAGGTGAGATGCAGTATGCATGGAACTGAACCCACCCTTTAATCCTAAGGTTCATCTGCCAGGGCCGAGCAAGCTTGGACGTAGGTTTAATTAGAGTGACCTTCTCTGAGATGGATGGCCTTACAGGGCTAGCGAGCTCCATCTGCCCCGGTTTGAGAATTAGAGTTGTCCTTCTCCTAGGATGGTTGCCAGAAGGCTAGTGAGCCCATCCTGCCCATGGGCATATTATATCTGACCCTTCAGTTTTGACCTGTCTGGCACGGGAGACCCTGCCGACAGCATGTACCATTGCCAGCATAGCTCTCAACCTCATAGGGATACACAGGCTTCCTCCCCACTGAGACCCCACAGCCCGTCAGACCCCCTCCCCCTCCCCTAAATTGGACTGGCAAACCTCTGTGCGCTCCAAAGATCCTCCTCTCTTCTCCCCTCCTCCGGGACGGCCAGCCAGACACCCTCCCCCAAATTGGACTGGCAAATGTCTGTGCGCTCCAAAGTTCCTCCTCTCTACTCCCCTCCTCCGGGGCGGGCCGCTGGGAGCCTGCCCGGCATGGCCGGCGCAGCCGGGGGCCTGCCCCCCTAGCAGGTTGAATAGTGCAAAACCAATTTCAAAATGCTTACTTCAATTAAAAAAATGAAAGTCAGATCATGCATATCTGCTCTTGAAGTGAATATTTGAAAAGAATCCAACATTCTGTTTATATATTGCAAGATCTCATTGAATAAACAGTACCATGTATTCAACTGTCTTCAAACATAAAAACAGTTCACTTTTGGGAACAGCAGGAATAAGGAATTAAGTTGCAACTTAAAATACCTAAACTATACTCATGTAAACAGATCTACTGCATTATTGCACCACTCCGTGTTGCACACTATGGACTTAATGTGTGGCTGAAACAACTTTGTTCATCTCTTCATTATGTGGTAAAAATGTATTTTGATTTCCCTGACATAGTGTTTGAGATCCATTATCAGTAATATTTGGCATAGTTCTACTAACCCCTAGGCTTGTCATTTAATAACTTATCCAATTTTGATTCTGTGCTTGTTAAAACAGATGATGTCCATTTAGGCTTGATTCCTTCCTATGGCCTTCCTGGACTGATTTTGCCACAGACCTCCCTCTCAGGCCATGCTGTTCAGCTTTGGCTTACTGATGCCATAGGATACATCAGCCACAGGAACGTCTTCTTGCACCGAACTAGGGAAGGTAATTAACAGTAGTTTTCAAATTGTCTATTTTCGTTCTTAATCAGAAGAGTAATGTTTTCCCCAGGTCTGCTTCCTGCCTGTACAAATGCTGTTCTGAGTTATGGTTGCAAACCACACCCTAGGAAAGCCAGTTATAATGTGTAACTGCAACACATAGACTCTTTTCTTGTATGTGATTCTGTAACTTAAAACATATCTAAAAAGCACAGCACCCTGTAACAATACTGAAAGTACTTTTATCTGTTCAAATGTCACTAAGTTGCACAATACTACAAATGATCAAGGACAGATTTCAGTCTAGATGCCACTAGAAATCAGGGAAGCCAATATCTTCCAGGATGCATATGAAATTTTTTTTCTGCACCTGCAGTTTTGTAAGGTGTCAGAAGTCACATACATTTAGTTACACTGCATCATCATCATCATCATCATTGTCATCATTCTGAGTAGTTTCGGTATTTTTCAAATCCAACCATCCATGTCAGTCTGACTGGGAGACTAGCAGCATTTGGAAAAATGGGTATCAAATATGTGTTCAGCACCTGTTTTCTAGTGATTCTCAGGCTTAGGTTAATGTCCTCTCAATAATTAGAATAATTATTAAATTTTTACTCATCTTCAACGATTACACAGAGACCTTGCTTCAGTGAAGTGTGTTTTCAATGTTGTAATAGTATCAAGGCACTCAAAAATTATATTCAGAATCTTTAATTGTCCACTAGCTTCTTAGTGATTAACAGCAAAACTACTTCAAAAAATAGCTTCAGGAGATGCATGCATTAAATAAAATAATGTATCAAATCCTGAATTTTTAATTCAAAGGAGATGGGGAAATTTAACAGACATCTCTATGATGTCTGTTTTAGGCTAAATTAAATACAGCCCTTTAACCTGTGTTCAGTCATTCTAGCTTGTACTCACTTTTTATGTAGCTATGAATAATCTGAAGTCTTTCCTCACAATACTCAAGGAAAGACATACACTGCCTTGTACTTCTGATTTACCTTTTGATCAATATATTTGTTTTCTTCAATTGCTGATCTTTTAGAGTGGTCACATGAGGAAGAAGATGCTGAAGGAAGTCTTCGCAGCAAACAGCTGGTATCTTGTTGCTGACGGTCAATAAACTGCTTCATAAAACTTTCCCTTGTGAACAAAGAAGATATTGATGCATTAAAACCCCAGGAAGAGTTAATATTTGGTTTTCCTTATGATGTCACAATCCATTAGTGTTAAGATGGATAAACTTCTGAGAAAAAGTTGTACTGGACTATAGATTTATAAATGAACAAAGTGCCAGAACAACTGATAACACTTCATTTATTAAAGAAATCCACAAGTGAATTGAGAGGTTGGTCACTTGTGTGTAAGTTCAAGGAAAAAAATTCTATTGCTTTTATTATTTATTTATTTACCAGTATAAATGCTAAATATTTCAAGTGCCTTTTGCAGTTTTCAGCTCTTTTGAGCTCATTAAACAGCAAGTTGTTACTTGACTGTAAATCAAATTCTGATATAACCCAAAGGAAACAGTCTCTGTGTGAAATTCTTTCTTGAAGATTTCAAACAACATCTGTTCATATAACTGCTTTGAATGCCAGTATTAGGGCGCTTCAGCAATTCTGTGCCTCACATATGTCATGTTTAAAATGCAGAAGCATTTCTGTTTACAACAAATGTACATTCATTTTGCTGTATTTTAAGTTCAGTAGAGTTGCCTCTTTTCAGTGTAAACTGACTATGTCAAAACTAATTTTACTCTGGAGAGATATTTCTATATGGTGCAATAACTTCAGATTTAAAGATATGATTTGTTAGTGCTATTTTGAAGTCTGTTTCACTAGTTAGTATGATTAGTATAGAGTACTTTAGGGAAAACAAAGCTAGAAAGAAATACCCAAAAAAGACTAAGACTAGTAGAAGAATGCCTTCCATATATAAACAAAGAGTACTTTGATACTAAAAGCAAAACATCTGTGATTGCTTCCTTGAGGTTTCGAAGGTGTTTTTCCTGACTCTTGATTCAGTTAAGATACTATAAACGGGACAAACCAGTTGCCTTAGCTTTCTTGTGACTTTAATCAAAACAAATGTAATCTCAGGAGACTCAGAACAATGGCAGCAATCTTTCACATCATCCTTTCTCCCAGCATGTAATTATTGAGGATATTAGAATGGGCATGGCCAGAGGACCTGTTTAGCCAGCCTGTGCTGTTTCAACAAACTTTGCAGCCTGTATATGCTAGAGCAGCCCTTTATGTAAGCTTTTTTTGACTTCAAGCAAAAATAATTGTACTGTAACTGATAAACCCAGAATCATAGAATGGTTTGGGTTGGAAGGGAGCTTAAAGATCATCTTGTTCCACCCCCCCTGCCATGGGCAGGGACATCTTTCACTAGACCAGGTTGCTCAGAGCACCATTAAACCTGGCCTTCAACACTTCCAAAGATGGGGCATCTACAACTTCTCTGGGCAAACTCTTCTAGTGCCTCGCCACCCTCAAAGTAAAAGAATGATCTAATAGATAACTGAGAGTCTGATCCTTTGTTAAGGTGAGTTTTATAGAAAAGTGATAACTATGCAAATACAAAGAAGGGATGAGGTCATCACAGAGTAACTTGTATTGGATGGTCTATGTTATGCCCTCTAATATTTGCTGCCAATTCACCCTATCTCTAAAGACCTACTAGCTGTAGATTGTCTAAAAACCAACTGCTAGTTGTCCATGTGAGCCAAGAATCTAAAATCCAAATGGAAGTGGAGAAACAACACACTTTTCAATTATATTGTACTTGTGTCAGTTTTGGTCAATCTAGCTGCTTTTATGAGTAAGTTGTCAGGAGTGCTAGGATTTTTTTCTCCCCAAACATAAAAAAAGGTAAACTCAAAATGTCACATCTTTTGAATGCCTATGTTAATTCTATTTAATTTCTGATTTCTGAACTATCTGCCTAACCCACAAGAAAAAATGTTAAATATTTTGGGTGCTATGTGGCCCCAAAAAAGTTTACAGCATACTAGCAAAGGAAATATTTCAATACCTTATTTTTGGAACTGTGAAATCTGAAGGAAGCTTGGAGATTTTCACCATTTGTGGCCTGTTTGGAAATTTTTCAAAGATGCGTAGACGCAACGGAAGCTTCTCCTTTGTATCTGCATTAGCTTCACTTTGCTTTAGCTGAAAAGAGGGAAATAAAACGAATGACATAAAGAGAAATTTTACTCCATAATATACTGCTCTTATTTTTCAGAATCCAAATAATAATGGCAATCATTTTAAGAAACAGAAGATGGCAGCAAAGATCTGCGGAGGGTAAATTTGATACACATGAGTTTTTTTGTCTTCTTGTGCTGGAAAATGACAAATACCTAACAATACCATGCTTTTAACTGAAAGACACAAAGTGTGAGGATTGTAAATAATTTTAATTTTAAAAAACAAATCATATTAGTGTCCTATTCAGTATGCTTATTTCTACATTTTCTTCACAGATCCCTAACACTTTATCAAGCAAATAAACACGCATGATCTTTTCTTATTAGGCACATCTTTTTGTATACGCTGACAGCTCTTTGATATTCAAGGACAACACAGCACTTTAAAAGGCAGAAATTTTAAAGAAATCCAGCTCTCAGAATACAAAAATAACAGGAAAATCACATTTAGATGAGTATTATAAGCAATAATAAAGAACTCAAAAGAATCCATCTACATCAGCAATACTGAGCTGCAGCACATCACATAAAAAATTTTGGATTTGTAACTATCCACAAACAGTTATTTCATGGAACATCACACATCCAAGTACAGAAAAGGCAGATGTATCTATATATGTGGACAGATGATGGCTAAATCAAATGATGTAAGATAAAAAAGATACACTATAGACATATGATTCCTGAATTCTGATTACCTTATGTAGCAATTCAGTTGTATCATTTCAACAAAATACCATGTCAAAAAGAAGCAGTAAAATTAATTTTCACATTTATTTTAAACTGTATGTGTATTGGATGCTATTTCAACAAGCATATATCTAAATGAAATTTCAATTCTCCTTCTCACCCCTGCTTGTGAGCAAAGGATTAGAAGCTTATATTTAGGAGAGATTTTCACCATCAGCACCCTGCAGAAAATACTGCTGACAGACATCAGCTATAGATTTTTACCAGGGGCAATTGCCCAGAAAGTTGAACAGAGTTTTAACTCTCACTTGCCCTGCCTACTGAAATGCATGCTCCCGCAGCATGCTATAGAAGAACAACTTCTCTGCTGCACTGTCATGCTATCAGCAACATCATCACTTCCAGCCACAGGACAGCTTAAAATGAAAATCAATTCATATTTGGTTGGATGCAAGTTGTCATGTGGCTGAAAACTGAAGAGCTACAAACAAAGACTAATTAATGGTGAAGCACTGAGTCAGAATAAAAGGGGAATATTGCATATATCTGTATTATGTCCAGTCCTGTTTCATTGCTTTATTAATGATCCTTAAAAGGAATAAATGATGACATTAACACCCACTTGGTATTAAAATGTGAAGAGTTACAAATACCATGTTGGACAAGGAAAAGGATGCATTTAGAAACAGCAGCAGGAAATAACAGACTGAAAAAATTCTAGATAAAGAATAAGAGCAGAAGCTAAACAAGAACTGGACTTCTATATAGTATCAAAACGTCAATTTGGGCACCAATTACATTACCTGCCAAAGGCTATGTTCACAACCAAGCTCTGTTGGGTAGATATTACAGAGGTATGAAAAATGGTACAGAAGTCCACAGCTCCTCTCTGTGCTGCTTTAAAGAGACCATATCAGGATATCCATAAATTTCTAAATACCATTTTACCATTTTCATACTCACAAGCCAAAATAGTGCTGAAGAGAGGCACGAAAACCAGGAGAGTGCTATGTAAACTAATTGGGGTAAGGGAGAAAAAAGGAGAGAAAGACTGTTTATAAAATTTATTCCACATCTGCAATAACGGATGATAAAGTAAGGGCAGGGGAGATGTAGATTTATATAAGAAATATTTGAAAACAAATTATTTCAAGAACATAATAGTGTATACCAAACAAAGGGATGAGAGGATGAAATTTAGAAAGAGAATTTCTAGGATGAGAATAAAGATTTCTAGTCTTATGGGGAAATCTCTGAGTGTTCAGACAGATCTCTGGAGGGGAGTGCCTCATCATTTCAAATTCAGACCACTCAGAACCCCCGAAATGCCAGAGTATTGCTGCAAGAAATCACTCACTGACAAGGAAACCAAGGTACTCTGCAAAACTATGCTGTTGAAAAGCTTAAGGAAGGGACTATTTCTAGAGGAAAAAGGTTTCCAGCTTCTGACACTTGATTTTTTAATAAGAAAACACTGCATAAATATGCACATTTTGGCATGGACAATGTCACTTACAGCTATGAACTCCTGTTTGCAGAAGTCAGTGTATACAGAACAGAGAGCATTGCAATGTTGTCTGAAGTCTTAGTGCAGAACAGATCAGGGAGAGCTTGAAAGCAGGAAACTGTATAGTTCAAAAGGTAAACAAGGTGACAGGAGAATGATTCAAGATAGACTTTAAAATAACTTAAAGTCAAAGCAGTTCTATAGAATATCTCCAATTACTCATGCTGTGATAATATTACATATTGGGGAGCATGAGGCATTTAGCTTCACTAAGTTCTTCTCCATGCACTTAGGGTGTAATTATTGCTCCACATGACATACATCCTGTTTTGTATTGCTGTTTAAAACCTTTATATTTCAACTTTCTTTAACACACAACAAACACATGTATTTTTAAAGGTACAGGATTATGTTGAAATGAGGTTATGATAGTGCATATGATAGTGCAGAGTTTCTAGTAACACCTAGACCCAAATAACCAAATAAACACAAATAAAATATTAGGACATTTTTCTCTATGATTTTTAGGTTTTATTTATTACTCTTCCTATTGGCAAGGAAATACACACTAGCCTGATTTGCTCTGCATGGCCCTCAATCTCCAGCCCCAAGAGCCTACTGGGAATGGTTCAACAATATTTTGTCATCCTGGCCTGGCTGAATTCTCTTGTGGATGGTGGAAAACATTTACATCTGTAAAGCCACTGAAGGAATTTGTGTCTATGTCCATGATGTTTGAGTTTGGAGTAGCAGATTTAGTGGCACACACATATAGTAAAACTGTCTGCTCTGAACCCATATCCAAATAGTACATAGATGGTGAGGAGTGTCAGAGAGAATATTTTAATTTGGGATTCCTGTGGTCATTTGAACCGGTCTCTAAAAACCAAGTTCTCCCTTATCTGTTCATATAATTGTCTCAGATCAATACAAAAGACAGCTGTGAGAAAGGCAGACACAGGAATAAGAAGATCTATACTATTCGTCTCTCACAGAAAGGCATTATGAGCATGCCTCCATTTGGTCTGGAGCAGTTTGAAGTTTGAATCATCAGCATGTGTTTTCCAGTTCAGTTTATAAGCTGTGTTGGTAAGCAAACCAGATTCTTCTTGGAGGAAACAAAACCACAGGCTCCAGCTTGGTTACATAAAAAATGCAGTCAAGGCTTAAGGATCACAACCAGTGGCTGGTCCTTAGGGTGGCCTTGAACCCCATGTGTGATGGGGCACATAGTCCAGTGTGAGACTGAATCTGTTCTGAAGCATACCCCTCTGACCTGCACACTGTACATGCAGCAGCTGCAGCAACTGCTTCATTGTGCCAATTCTCTCCGATTGCACAGCCCAGGTGTTACATAGTACAGTCTCATCCATATTACTCATTGCAGCTTCAGTTGTAAATTTTTTTGTGACTTCAAGGCTTCCTTACAAAAACATGATTGCCAAAATCAGCTTTAGTATAATAAACATCTTGTCCCTTAAAAATTAAGAGAACCTGTAAGTGGTTGTCCTAAATGCACACAGTAAGATGAATGGTGGTGAAAGTGGAAGACTGGGAAAGGCAGGGTGCAATAAAAGAGACAGCAGGTAATGACTGTCAAAGAGGAAAAGGGTTGGGATTATCTTTTTCGCACAGAGGTACCCTGGCTGTGGTCAGACAATTGTGCTAGGATGGTCTGAAAAGCAATCACTGCCCTGCTGGAGGGAGCATCCTTTCTGTCATGAAGCCAGTGTCTCCTGTGTAATCACACTGGTCCTACCAGGCCAGAAAAGCCACAGCACCAGACTATTCACACACCATCCCACCTCTGCCAGGTACTAAAGCATTCTCATCTGTGTATCACAAACGTATTACAGTACTTGAACCACATAGTATACACTGTTATCAAGAACCTTGAGAGTAAGGTAATAAATGGTGGTTTTTACTTTTTTTAATCTTAAAACATTGTAGTGCTATAGTCACCCAGATAGTAATCACTGTAAATGTGGTCAAGGTGAAATTAGTGAGTTCTCTTAAAGTGCATATTGCAACTCCTTTGATAGCAGTGAGCGGAGTTGCTGAAAAATCACTCAAGAATTGGAATGAGACAAGAAGCAGGACCTGATTAGGAGAGATGCGTTCCCCCAGTCTCTCCCTAGGTTCAGCAGAAGAGACATGCTACAGTGAATTTCAGATCTTCAGGTGAATGCAGGGCAGCATCACACATGCCCTCCAGATGACATCCTCTTCTGTGGAACCAGGATGTGAGAAGTGTCTGCACATGCAAAAGTCTCATGATGGACTCAGGTGGGAGCTGACAGACCAAAAGGTGGAAGTGCTTCAGGGTCTGGTAATATGAACAAGACCACTTGAACAGCTCAAAGGGCAAACTAAGGTGAGTAACTCTTAATATCACCAATTTGCATTTAGAGACAGAAACATCCTCAGAAGTATTGATCTGGGCAAAAGAAACCAAAAGCTAAAATTTAACATAGTCGTCGAGTCTCTAAGATGTTGACAGTTTGGTGAGAACATGCCAAAGGAGAAACAGAATTAACCATTAACCATTAACCTACCATTCCTAACTTTTTGTTTTGTTCTGTATTCATTTAGTCCCGATCATGGAAGAAGAGCCAGTAATGTGCAAAACTCAAAGAGTGAAAGATGTAGTTTTCAGATGGTCTATGAGGTAAATGTATGTGAAATTCACTTAAACACTCTGTAAATATTTCAATGAAATCAAATGATTATAAAAATTTGCTGCAATGCTCTAACTCTTTCATTTT